CGTGTGTGAATTGTTGAATGGAAGTGGAAAACTGATGGTCTGCTCTGTAAACCACCACACTCCTAAGTTCAAAACCCAAAAAGCAAGGTCCTGCTTTTCTAGCAAAGTACAGTTCTTTTTCCTTTTCTAAAAGCCAATGGCCGAGTGAAGTTTCGAGTTGAAGGAGAATTTGAAGCTACCTTGACTGTGATGGGCGATGACCCCGATGTGCCATGGCGTCTTCTCAAGCTGGAAATTCTGGTTGAAGATAAGGAAACGGGAGGTAAATCCTGAGTGCTGCATTGATTTCAGTATTTGGTTATTTGTACACTATTGAAACACTCCTGCAGAGTAATGCCTGTACTGAGCACTTTATTCTTTCATTTGAAACACCTTGTAAGCCTATTGTAGCTGCCCCCTGGCCAGAGAAGTCTGTGTCTGAAAGTAGAATGTTCTCCAGTTTCCATAGAGCAAGTATTTCTTGATGTGTGTTAGTTTCATTTCACTCCACCATTTGTAGGCTTTTCCTTAGTTGGGGTTATAACATGATCTGTAAAAAACCTTTCTCATTAACTACCTTCTTTCCTCCTGCCAACGGAAGATGGACGCGCGTTGGTGCATAGTATGCAAATCAACTTTATCCATCAGCTGGTGCAGTCTAGGCTCTTTGCTGATGAGAAACCTCTTCAGGACATGTACAACTGCCTACGTATCCTTCTAAAATTTGAGGGGGTGTACTTGTAAAGATTTTGTATTGTTCCTTTCACTCTCTGTGTTGTTCGCTTGTCTGCACTTCTGAAATATAGCAGCCTACCCCCACCCCTTCAAGTGAATGTCAGACTGGAGAACTGGCCAGTGTGAACACTGATACATCTACAGTAGTCATGATCCTATCCTACTCCCGTAGAGTTACAGTCTCAGAAACGCACAGGGTCAGTTCTACCCTGTCCTGTCCCGTCACTTACGAGTCGAAATCACCTTGATGGCAGTCAGTTGAGTGAGTTTTATTGTAGACCAAGTTTTAAATTTTACTATTGACTTTGTAGGTAAAAGCAAAAAAGAGTGTTGAGTTTAAAATAGTCTCTAAACTAGGATGAGTTAAGGGGGAACCTGGACCCTATAGTGAGTTTGTATTCGTTCACATTAAGCATGAAAACTCTTCTAAAACTTGATCACAAATTATAACACTCTTCAGAAATTACCTTCCTAGACAAATGTTAGGGACTGGAGCCTCTGTTCAGTGCCATTCTCAGGTACTTGGTTGATTGCTGGAATAAAATACTCTGTTGGATTTGCTTAACAAGAGCTACCAGATTCGTTCTGCTTATCACTGCAATTAGAAGTGCTACATTCCCAAACTCTGATGTTAATCCGAGAGCGCTGGGGAGACCTTGTGCAAGTGGAGAGGTACCATGCTGGAAAGTGCCTCTCCCTCTCCGTGTGGAAGTAAGTTTTATTGGTTCTGGCGAGTTCGTGGTCGTAACTGCAAAATAATCTCAGCTTTTTACTTCTCCTTTGTTCTGCCCTGCTTCAGTTTCAATATGCCACTGGCTCTCGGTTAATGGGAGTTTTCTGTAATAAGGTCCGATGGTATCACAGACCACATAGGACACCCATAATTGACACTGTTTTGTTTTTTTTAAAGAACACAGCATGTTCTAAATACCTATCTACCTGTTAGTACTAAGATTCAGCCATTGTTAAAACATTTGAGGAATTAGTTTCTTCTGGGCTCATACCATCTTGCTTAAAGATACAGTGTTTGAACATCTTTTGTAAAAACCAGTTTGTTTATCTCATGGCTTTACATTTTGAAATGTGCCTTTTAAAGACTTTTATTTTGCAGTTCGGCTAAGTGACTTTTTTTTTCCTAAGTGACATTTTATGAGTATGCTTAAAAGTGTCATATCTTTACTATAGACTGAAGTGTCATTTAGAAACACTCATTTTCTTCTGTTTTTAACATACCCATAATGGCTACTCCTTGTACTGAGGAGGAGCCTTTATGCCAGGGTTCTACCCTGTTACTTCTCTACTCGATAAATCGACTTGCAGTGAGACTTCGCTGCTCCGCATAGCAGGGTACTTTTCTTTGGATTTATGGGGGAAATTGGGATCTGGCAGTTTTCAAGCCTTCATGCCCCATTTGAACTTGATTTGATATTCCTACTTTTTTATAAAAGGTGGACAGATACCACCTTGAAAATAGGTTGTTTTTGTTGTTTAGTTTTGGATTTTGTGCATTTTTATGTTTAAGTTTTATGATTTAAAAAAATCTTTTTTTTTCTTAATGCAGTAAATGTATTGGGTTACAGAATAGCTGTCTTCCCAGTATTCATTTATTCTTTCCACAAACATTCAAAGCAGACCATGTTCTAGCCTCTGGCTATGGACACAATTAAAAACAAACAAACATTTTCATCCAATGGATTCTGACTCCTGACCACCCCGATGTGTGGATGGATGTGTGTCAGAATAGGGTTTTCAGTACGGACTTTTTGGAAGTAGATTGCCAGGCCTTTTTTCCGAGGCACCTTTGAATGAATTTGAACTGCCCTCTTGCCCATTAGCAGCCAAGCACTAGGGATCCTAAGATTCCTGAGATAGTGTCTCTATTTTATTCCAAAAATTAACAGACTGTTCTGTAAAAAAGATCTGAACGTATTTGTTTGTTTTTCCTTTTAAGTCAACAGATTCTGGGGAGAAAAACTGGGACAGCATCTGTTCACAAAGTTACAATTAAAATTGATGAGAATGATGTCTCTAAGCCTTTACAAATTTTTCATGACCCTCCCCTGCCAGCTTCTGATTCCAAGTTAGTAGAAAGAGCAATGAAGGTAAAAGATCTCACTGTATTTGCATATTGGCTTGATTAAATGAATATAATCTAGTTTAGCATTTATACTTAAAGTATAAATTGGTTAAAATATGTAATTTTTCCCTAAAGTTTTGATGAAACTTGTTTTATATGAATGTTATACTTCTGAATTCATGGTGTATGTGATTTTTAAAAAAAGATCTGATACTGTACATAATGTTTAAGATGTTCTTTCAAATGTTGTAGCTTAGATCAGAGCACCTTTGTTTTTTAAAGTCTTGCATTTACTCACTGACAACTGATTAGTATCTTTTTATCCATACTTGTCAGAATGCTGATTACAGGCTTTAAGGCATCAGCAACATACAAGTTAATTTTTAACTTTATCTAAATTTACTTTCTTTTTCTGGTCAACATTTTAGTCAGCGTGATTTTAACAGCATGTACTTCCAGTCACGTAACTGTCTCAGGCTGTCAAAACGAAACCCTCTTAAATTACCCCTCGGGGTCTGTTCTTATTGATGCAGATTGATCATTTATCAATAGAAAAACTCCTGATTGACAGCGTCCATGCGAGGGCTCATCAGAAACTCCAGGAATTGAAGGCCATTCTGAGAGGCTTCAATGGCAACGAAAATTGTAGGTTTATAAAAATTGCCATTTCTGTCTTGTTTAACTTACTGTCCACTTTTATTTTATAAGCCATTTTTCTTAATAGGATGTTTTGCCTGGTACAGGTAGTCCCTGACTTACAAAGGGCTTCTGTGTCCACAGTTCCCACAACTCCATTATACATTGTGATATAAGTTGAATACCTCATTTTATTTTATTTTTTGCATTATTACTGCCTTTTATTATCAGTATCTTTAGAAACCATAATATTGAACATATACAAAAAAATATGTTAGTAATGAGAATAACATAAGGTCAGCAAAATTACATACAAGCCAAATCCAACACATTGTATCATTATTATCAATGTACCAAAAAGAGAACTGTCCTTAAATTGAGTTCCTTGCAACTCAGTTACATCGTAAATCTAGGATGGATTACCTGTATGCTGGTTTTGTTGAAGAGGCTGGGCATTCCTATATTTTAATTTGTGGCCTACCAAGCTCTTTCTAAAATTCCTATTATTTATTATTTAACCTGGTCTTATTTTTGCACTGTTTGTGTATTGACTCTCCTTAAAACTTGTTTTTCCTATTGAAATGGAAGCTGTTGTAGCCTTTTCATGTGAATCTTATCTCTTCTGGTTTTTTCCTCTAAGGCAGGGAAACTGTGGCCCGCCGAGGACATTTATCTGGCCCGCCGGGTGTTTTTGCCCCATTTGGTTTTTTTTTCTTCAAAATACGATATGTGCAGTGTGCATAGGAATTTGTTCATAGTTTTTTTTTTAAACTATAGTCCGGCCCTCCAACGGGTCTGAGGAACAGTGAACTGGCCCTCTGTTTAAAAAGTTTGAGGACCCCTGCTCTAGGGCATTAGATTCCCAGACTTATTTGGCCTACTGACCCTTTTTCAGGGGGGAACAATACTCACCAGTTCCCAGGCAGTTAAGAACTTTTGTATTATCACCCATAATAATGTAGGATAAAATGTAGGTATCTGCTTTTGTAGGAGGCTTAGTGGTGTGTGGTTATGAGTTGGGCTGCTTACCACAAGGTCAGCAGTTTGAAACTGCTCCATGGGAGAAAAATGAGGCTTTCTACGCACACCAAGAGTGATAGTTTCAGAAACTCACAGGGGCAGTTCTAACCTGTCTTATAGGGTCACTAGGAATCAATTTCAACTCAATGGCAGAGAGTTTTGGACCCTGATTGCTTGGGGCTGTGGTTTCCTTGTGTCTAAAGGAAACAACCTTTCCTTGGGTGACGTAAATGAGTACTATCTAAATAGGAAATCTTCATTGGAGGCCAGTTCCAGCCATTATACTTAGAGGAAGCAGCTTCTTAGTAGGTGTTGGGAGCCCTGGGCTAACAGTGCTTCCATATAGTAGAAACACTGCCTGAAGAAAAGGCAGACTGTCAGGAACAGGAATTTATATTTATACACAACTGTTACTCAAGAGAAGTGAAAGACTAGAGATGAACAAAAAGAGCCTAAGACCAACCAAAGTGTCAGCTTACAGGAGTATTTTTAGAGAGACTAGGGTAGAACTTCCCCTATGAGTTGGAATCGACTCAGTGGCAGGGAGTTTGGTTTTGGTTTTGTTGACTAATGAAGTTGAAGATCCTTCACAAAACTTGTTCTTTCTTCCTCCTAATGGCCTGTTAAGGAGCTCTAGTGCGAGAGTGTAGGCTGTGCACGGGCTGCTAACCACAAGGTCCTCAGTTCGAATACACCAGCCCCTCTGGGAGAAAGATGAGGCTGTCTACCTCCTTGCCTCTCCACTGAAGCCCATTATGTAATGCCAAATAAATCCCCTGTCAGTTCAGGTTCTGGTGTCTCTCATACATCTGGAACTAGTCTAGTTCAAGCTCTGGCATGAAATCATCTTCAGGACTAGGAACCTCAGGCTCATTGTCCCAGAAAACTACCCCATCATCCAATTTGAAATCTTGGAAACCCACCAGGGAAGTTGAGATGGACTGGATGGCATTGAGTGTGAGGTTTGGGGAATGCCCTGGTATATGGGCCCAACTCTAGACCCAGTACTATGGAGTTGACCGACTCCTAGCAACCCTATAGGCCAGAGTAAAACGGCCCTTGTGGGTTTCCAAGGTTGTAAATCTTACAGTAGCAGACTGCCAGGTCTCCTTCTGATGGGGTGTATGGAAAGAAAGGTGTTATTGTCATTGCCTGACAAAGTAACCCAGAGCAGTCGAGGCTTATGCAAGTCTTTGCCTCCATTACTCCCCTCCCTGCTGGTCTTGGATGTCATAGCTGTGGAGGAACTGGAGTGCTTTCAGTGCTTCACTCAGCCTTTGGATTTTGCTCTGCCTATGTGGGGATTAAGGGACAAGCTAATTGAGCCTGGTGGAAATACTGTGAAATTCTCTATCAAGTGTATTGGCAGCTCTGGGGGATACATATGTTTAGCAATTGCTATGTTCTTATCTCATCTGTGCCTTGAAAATGTACACAATGACTGGGAACGGGGCGGTGGTGTCCCACCCCCCCACCCCCATTTAATAAATGATGTTTTCAAATGCCCAAGAGTAAATTGAATCTCATTGTCATCAAAGCGATTCCAACTCAGTCACCCTGTGAGGTAGTAGACCTGTCCTATGGGGTTTCCAAGGTTGTAAATCTTTATGGAAGCAGACCAACTGCCTCATCTTTCTCCCACAGAGTGACTGGTGGGTCCAAACCACCAGCCAATTTGGTAGCATAGTGGTTACACGGTTGGTTCGAAACCGCTCCGCAGAATATGGGGCTTTCTATTCCCATAAGGTGTTCCAGTCTCGGGAATCTACAGGAGCAGTTCTACCCTGTCCTGTAGGGCCGACTTGATGGCAGTGAGAGAGAGGCTGCCACCAGGGCTCCTGTTTAAAATATGCCAGAAACTTTTTTGCAAAGAATGGCCTTGAAAATCTTCAGGCCATAGATGGAATTTCTTTCTTTATACCAAACAGCTGATTTTCTTTCTTTCTTGAAAATCTAATGCACTATAAACTACCAAGTGAAAATGTACTCACTTGTTTTAAGTCAACTTGCAAATTTTATTCTTCCTTTTGAGATACGAATGGAAATAGAGTACTAGTCCAAATTTTGTAAAATCATGTTTTCCTTCCAACATTGAGGATTATTATATAGTTGCTTTGTTTTGACTTGCTGAGAAATAAACTTTTGTGGGGGGGGGTGGCCTGGGGGAGAGGTATTCAAGTAGAAATAAATTTTAAAAATTAAATTTATTTTTAACTGTTCAGCTTCCATAGAGACTGCACTTCCAGCCCTTGTTGTTCCTATCTTGGAGCCCTGCAATAGTTCGGAGTGTCTACATGTTTTTGTAGATTTGCATTCTGGGATGTTCCAGTTGATGCTTTATGGACTTGGTAAGCTATCAGATTATATAATCACTTGGTATTAAATATTAGAAGTGACAGAAGTCAGCACTGTGGAAGATAGGTATGGCGTGAATAACTCTGGCTCATGTCTATACCCTGGCCCTCTGTTCTTCCTAAGTACTCTTTTTGGATGTTCGTTTACCAGTAATAAGCTTCCTGATATGAAGTTTATTCCTGTTGGGTTAAAAGAATAATTTTGATGCCCAGTGTTTTGTAGCTCCCAATTCCAGTAGCTTAGTTTGGATTTTCCCCACATGTAGTTGAGTGGCATTGACATGACTGAAGAACAAATTCAGGATAGTATAAACATCTAAGATAACTTGGAGTTCAGAATCTGGGAGGAAGGGAATTCTTTACTGGCTAGTAAAGAATAGTTCATATAACCGAGACAGAAAATCTAACTAACTTGTTGGCTTATCTAATTTCTGGTTTGTTTTGTTGCCAAGTTCTGAAATGATATATCACTAGGGAACTGAGTGATTTTGTATTGGAATAGTATTCTTGAATGAGTTATCGTGGTGGCCATTAGTATCAACCTAGACAGAGTGCTTCAAATAAGAGTTTTCTGGTTATATTGTGTGACTGAGAGATTTTTTTTCCTAAGAGATAATTATGGGAAAACTACATAGTTTTAATCATTTTTTTTTTGTTGAATTTTTAAAGTTTTTTTTTTTTTAACATTTTATTAAGGGCTCATACAACTGTTATCCCAATCCACACACACATCAATTGTGTAAAGCGCATTTGTACATCGTTTCTCAAAACATTTTCTCTCCATTTAAACCCCCGACATTAGGTCCTCATTTTTCCCCTCAGTTTTAATCACATTTGCGATAGCTAAGTAACCATTAAAAATGACTGTTCTTTGGCTTTGTTGCTAGACCAATAAAGCAACTATGTTTGTTATTTCTTTTAAAAAAAATCATTTTATTAGGCCTCAAACAACTCTTATCACAATCCATACATACATCACTTGTGTAAAGCACATTTGTACATTCATTGCCTTCATCATTCTCAAAACATTTGCTCTCCACTTAAGCCCCTGGCATCAGCTCCTCATTTCCCCACCTCCCTCCCCGCTCCCCCCTCCTTTACATTTTTTTAAAAGTATTTAGTCATTTTCCTGGTTACTAGCGTAGTACACACTCACGAATTCAAAACACCTAAACATTTCAAAATGAGAGCAGCGGCAAAGTGGCATCTCTTGGCAATTTCTGTTATTGTAGAGGCAATTCACGCTTCTGATTTGCTCTTTGCCTTTGTTTCATATTGAAATAATTGTATGTTACTTTCGTTTTCCAGTGTTATAAAAGGCTGAAAGCGCATTTCCCAAATCTCATCATCTCACTGCTCTTGCTCACGTCACAGACCATGTGTGTTTGCTGAAGAAACACTCTTTGGGGTTTTGTAGTGTCTATGTATTTTAAGGTCCTAAGTCCCATAATGCAGTGAGCTTTTAAGTGCTTATGATAGTTCAAAAGTATCAATGGATTAGACTAAAACTTTGGGGAATGAAAATGCAGGCTGAGAATTCATTCATGTATCACTTTTTCTTGCTAGTAAACATTTTTGGATTCATTGGTTGCCATAACGATAATTTTCATGCTAAATGTCAAAGAGGGAAAACAATTCAGGTGGATTTATATCTAGGGGTGCATTTAGCTTTTGTCTGGGTCAAAAATAACACACTATTCTGCTTTAAAAAAATGATGTTTGGGCCTTGGAATCCTAGAGAGCGATTTTGTGTCGTGTTTATTTGTGATTAATTATAAGTAATTAATCAAGTCCTTTGTTCTGCAGACCAGGCTACTTTAGATGATATGGAGAAGTCTGTGAATGATGATGTTAAACAGATTATCCCATGGATTCAACAACTTAAGTAAGCTGATTTATTTAGCTCAAGGCTGAAAATGAAAATGTTTTTACCACTATATGCTTTCTTCTCCAGTGTTACTGTGACCAGCCACTGTCCTTAAGATTCCTGACATGAAACTTGAACGCCTTTGATGTCTTCGAATCTAAATTCTCTTGTAATTGATCCAAGACAACAGTGCTGGTATCAAATGTTCCTCTAGGGCAAATAATGGATCTGAAGGCTATGACGCTCAACTCTCTTTCTGTGATCCATTTTCTCCTGTACAAGTACCGTACAAATCACCGCCACATTGCATTTTACTGTGTCAGGTGGTTTCTGCAGCAGTCTTATTATAATTATCCCAAGTCATCTGCATGGTATGAATCTACCAGAGGACACTTTCAAAAGAGTAGTGTCTGCTTCTCTAATAACTGCCATTCAGTTTGTCTCACAATCCTCTGAATGTTTGAAAGAGATGCATGAACACACATACACAGATTCTTTGTTTCTTTTTTCAATATAATACAAAGTATAGCTACCAATCCCACAGCGGTGTGCTGATGGATGGAAGTAGAGATCGTAGAGCAGTTTCAGCAAGTTTGACATACTCATTTTGAACTTTTATCCGAAATGAAGCCAGTGATGCTATAGTCGTAGTTTTGAAATTCATCTCTATTCCTTCATCAATCGTGAGTTCTAACATCGTACCTTGTAAAGTTGTAGTTAAATTTGTCTACCACCACTAACAAAAAGTGTTTCTAGATTTTATGCACTTTTGAGTAATAGTAGACTTCCCTTTAAATGCCACATATGATAACATGGCTTTACTCTGCACGACTGGTATGCAGTGAACACAGCATGTGATTCACCACTGGAATGCTACAGTACCAGAACTGGTTTGTACCTTATCATGACCTTGAATATTGTGGTTTTGTTGTCTCTAGATTCATCCTGTGATTTTTTTGTACTTACCTCATTGTGGGTTAGTAGGAATTTGTGAGACAGTCTCTGAATTCCTTTTTCACACATTACTGTTTCTTAGCCTCCTCAAAGATAGACCGACAGAATGACAAGTGAAAGCATCAAAGCGATATTTGGTGGTGGCTTAACTGAACGATTAGAGGGAGAGCAAGAGATTCTGCATTGTGTGTTATACACCTCAAACTCATCCCCACCAGTTGATTCTGATGCATAGTAACCCTTTAGGACAGGGCAGAACTGCCCCCGTGGGTTTCTGAGACGATAACTATAGGAATAAAAGGCCTCATCTTTCTCCTCCAAAGTGGCTGGTGGTTTTGAACTGCTCACCTTGTGATTAGCTTCCCAACACGCACCCATTACACCATCAGAGCTTCACAGTACACATACACAGTATAAAACCCTAGAAAGTGTAATGTATAGGGATTCTTTAGTATAGGGGCAGGCAGCTTTTTATGTTACCTCCAAGAATATTAGTTAGCAGTAGGTTATAACCCTTGATGCCAGACTCTATCCATTATCTTCGGATAAAAGTGGCAGGGCGATAGTAATACACCAGGGTAAGTAAAAAGGTAATGCTAGTAGGGTTCCAGTTCATATACAAAAGTATATTCCGAACAAATCCTGTTTAAACATGTCTGCGATCAGTGGCTGGCTACAGATGAGTACTCTTCATAATACGCTGGCCTTAGTTTCCTTAGGGGGGCCTTCTACAAAAAGGTCCCATCAGAAGGTTGCGGTGACTGATTTTTAGAATTCCAAATGCATAATCTTGTTAGATTTTCTTGAATGACACAGAACGACTACATGGGCTTAATTAGGATGAGCTTTTAAGAGCATAGAAGACTGCATTGGTGGCAGAAAGGCCAGGAAAGTTGAGCTAAGGGATTTTCTTCCCATCACCTTCTTGATGGCAAACATTGCTCCATTCACCCCACAGGCCTGGTCTTGCCCATTCAGATTTCTTTTTGTTCCCCAAACTCAAAGGACATGGAAAAGGAATATAATTTGAATCTTATCAAGGATGCCAAAATGGCTATTTTAAAGTAAATTAAAGAGTGCAGAATTCTTGCGGAAGGGTTAGAGATATAGAAACCATGCTTCTTAGAAGTGTGTAGTCCTAAATGGAGGATATGTGGAGACACAATATATTCACATTTTGATGTTTTTGTTTACTGAAGGTTTCTATGATTTTGTAAACAGTTTTTTTACTTCATATTTCATAAAATTAGAAACTGCACAGTTGTTAGTACTAACACAATTATATATATATGAACATACACATAAGCTGTTTTATTTTGCTGTATGAGAGCTCTGGTGACATAGTGGTTTATACATTTAACTGCTAATTACCAGGTCAACTGTTCAAACTTTCCAGTCCCTTCATGGGAAAAAGATGAGGGCGTTAGCTCCCTGAAAGATTCAAAGCCCCCAAACTCAAAGAAACAGTTCTGCTCTGTCCTGTAGGGTCACTCTGAGTTGGAGTTGACTCAGTGGCAATGGGTATTTGGTTCATAATACTTCAGGCATTTTATAAAGAATGTCAAGGTTAGTGTTGCTATCCTTGAGCCATCGGAATTCTGGGTATCTTAGCCTTATTAGTTCATTTTTCCTTAGAACTAATCATCATCACTCACATTGCAGTTAAATGTCCTGAAATACGGCAAAAACCTGACGGTCCAATATGGAACTGGAGAAGTGATTCTTCATTATGGTTTCATATTCTTTGACTCTCGTTGCTCGTTGTTGTCAAGTCAATTCAGCCGCTCGGCGACTCCACGTGTGTAGAGTAGAACTGTTCCATAGGGTTTTCAGAATCAGATCACCAGGCCTGTGTCCTAAGGTACCTCTGAAAAGTCGACCCTCCCATGTTTTGACTTGTTCAGTTAAATTCAAAGTAATGCGTCTTTTACTGATTATTTATCCATCAGCAACACATAGTGAAAGTTGCAAGAATATCTTATGGTGTGACTTGTCTCTTTCAAATTAAGGTTTTGGCTTGGACAGCAGCGTTGCAAACAATCTATAAAACACCTGCCTACCATAAGCAGTGAAACATTGCAGCTTTCCAATTACTCAACCCATCCTATTGGTAAACTTTCTAAGAATAAGTTGTTTATTAAACTCACCCGGCTTCCACAATACTACATTGTAAGTATGCAAGGGAGGGTGACTTGGGTGGGGTTGGGGCAGGGGATCAAGTTCAGTGATTCTATGAGTGTCTTGAATGCTATATTGTTTAATTGGCAAAAATGACCTTTATTGAATCTGCAACTGTCCTGTAGTGATTCTCTACTCGGGTAGGGATGGAGGAGAGAAGGAAACCATCTCTCTAAGAAAAGCGGTAATTCTCAGAGTTGCGGAATAGAAGATATGGCTCCATCCCTAGCCGTAGGATCTCTCCTGTAGTGGGTCTAGTTTCTGATTGGACTGAGTCATCTCTGTGTAAGAAGAAAAACATTGAAACCTACCTTGAAGGTTTGGAGATGTTTTGATGGCAGATAAATGGGTTTTGTTTGGTTTTAGTTCAGTGCACACTTCCATAATACAGTCTCTTAAATCCGGGGTAGCCGAAGTAGGCTTTGTTTTCCTTTCTCCTCCCTGATTGATTTAAAGTGGATTTTATGTTAATGATTGCATCAAAAAGCTTTGTGGCACCATGGGCTGAAAAGATAGTCACATTTTCCCAGGAACTTTTTGAAGCCCTCTAGTATTTTTAGAACACAGTGAGATCCCTTCTTTTTGTACCTTTCTAGGTGTTTTCCAGGTAGTGTCTTTGAGATCTTTTCGAACCTGGTTAAAATTGGCAAGAATTTGAAGTGTCTTGTTTTTCCCCACTTATAGACATGTCTGTGTTTTCCAGATAAATATCTTTGGCTAAGAATCTCAGGTATCTGAAGCTATAATTCAAAATTGTTGGCTGGAGGTAACAGGATTGAATTTCTCAAGGTTTTGACCTATACTTTTGAAAGAAGCCGCCTGAAAAAGGCACCCTCCGCTAGGACTCTAACATAGCTTTCCATTTGGTTACCTATGTAGATTAGTGTTGTTCAGGAATAGGACTATCCAAGCACAGTAAAGTTCTCAGTGAGCTGCCTGGTCTACATGTGAAACGACATGCAAAGCACATGTGTGATAACCAAAGCTGTGAACTCACAAAGATCTTGTATATTGAACCTGACGCAAAATACAATTACGTATAACTGGTTATTTTCTGATCTTATTTAGCATCGACAAAAGCCAGGCTTTAGTTTTGATGGCCAGTGATTTATTAAAAGGCCATAATTTGTCTCGTGTCGTTTAGACCAAAACTGAATGTATGATACTCCTCGTCTTGATTTATCACTTAGTGATGATGCAGACATAGAAATGGACAGTCAGAAGGTGATCTCCTTTTAAATTTCTTGCTACCGTTTTACTTTTCTTCTTGGAGGGGAGGGGGGAGTCAGCTTTATAATTGATTTACAGTGAAAATTCCACCACTTCAGTGTGAATCCTGATGAATGCATACAGTTTTATAGCCTCCATCTCAATCAGGACCGACAGCAGTATATCCCTGGCCAAATTCCTTTATGCTGCCCCTCTATAATCAAATCTTCCCACCTTCAACTGGTAGCCCTTGCTGTGTTTGCCGCTTCTTTGTTGTGCACGTTTCAGAATGTACTATAAATGGACTCATACACTATCTAACCTTCAAGGTTGGCTTGTTTCACCCAGTTTAATGCCTTTAAGGTTCATCCATGTGTATTTGTAATAGTTAATCGTTAATTTGTTTTTATGGCTTAGTAGTATCCCATTGTATGGATGTATCCCAGTGTGTTTATCCATTTACGCATTGAAGGACATCTGTGTTGTTTTCAGTTTGGAGCAACTATAAGTAAAGTTGCCAGGAACACTTGCATACAGGATTTTATATGAACATAAGTTTTAATTTCTTTGGGCTTAGTAACTAGTAGCAGCATTGTTGGATCATACGGTCTGTTTAACTTAATGAGAAACTACCCCAGGGTTGATTACCAAAGGTTTTTCCAAACTGCTTGTACCATTTTGCATTTCCACCAGCAGTGAGTAAGAGTTATAATTGCTCTGCATTTTTGTCAGCACTTGATATCGACAGGTTATTTTACTGAATTTTAAAGTTTGTAGCTATTCTGATAAGTGTATAGTGGTATTTTTTTTTTCTTTTTTAACATTTTATTAGGGGCTCATACAACTGTCATCTCAATCCATACACACATCAATTGTGTAAAGCGCATTTGTACATCGTTTCTCAAAACATTTTCTCTCCGTTGAAACCCCCGACATTAGGTCCTCATTTTTCCCCTCCCTCCCCGCTCCCCCCTCCCGCATGAGCCCTTGATAGTTTATAAATGGGTATTTTGTCGTATAGTGGTATTTTATCATGTTCTTAATTTCCATTGCTCTAATGACTAATAATATTTCTGTGTGCTTATTAGACATCTGTATCTTCTTTGTTAAAAGTTCCATTTTACTTTTTAATTCTTTAGACTCTCAATGCATTAATGTAATTCTTAGGGATTGACCACAAACAATTTCTTGAAAGGGGGTGGGGTGAGGGGTATGTATATTAATAAAAAGCCTTTTCTAATCACATTTCTGGCACTAAAGTATGTAGAGAACTTAAAGTTTGACTCTAGTTTAAAGATAAGTAAGCTGGTATCTCGAGTAAGAATAAAGTCTCGAGTCAAACTTCTGGTATCAAAGTAGGAATACATTACCTTAGCTGTGTGACATCGGACAAGCAAACGTTATTGTGCCTCAGCTTTTTTCTCCTTAAAATAAATATAAATAATCTCAATATCATGGAGTCCAATGTATAAGGTAAAGTATGAATATCAAGAACACCTATTTATAGTAGTTCAAAGGCCCCATTTGCTGTCGGTTAGAGTTGCTTTAAGAAGCCCCGATGGCGTGTGCAGTGGTTGTTTCAGTGTTTGGCTGATTAAAACCCACCAGCCTGCCCCACAGGAGTAAAGGGCTGGATGGTCTGCTCCTGTCAAGATTACAGCCTAAGAAATCCCATCGGACCTTTTTTTTGTTTTTTTTTTAAATGCTGAGTTAGCTCCTTTTATTTCTGTAGCCCCTGCCTGTTGACTGGCCAGGCACAAGCCAGATGAAGAACCCTGGTTTCATGTAGCTTGCTTCTCTGCAGGTGATCTGCCATGACTATTAAAGGCTAGCCCAAATGGGTTAAGTCCCTAGCCTCCCATTAGTTGGCTGTGTGACCTGGGACCAGCTAACCCCCTTCTCCCTCCACTTCCTTCATCTGGACAGAGGCTTGTGAGCTTTCAGGGAGATAGTGCCTCTGAGGGAGGGTTCTTCTTTATGTTATTGGGCTGCTATGAGTCAGAATTGATGCCTTTGCAGATGACAGTGATATCAACATAGTTGTTTTGGTTTTTTCAATGACATGTTTGCTTTTTATTGTTTTCTTTAGTTTGGTCCATTTCTCAGAAAATATTTATTTATTTATTTTTTAAGAAAATATTTAATAGGAATGCTTATGACATTCTTTTTAAAAAATCACTTTATTGGGGTTCATACAACTCTTACCATAATCCATACATACATCAATTGTGTAAAGCACATTTGTACATTTGTTGCCATCATCCTCAAAACATTTGCTCTCCACTTAAGCCCTTGGCATCAGCTCCTCAATTTTCCCCCTCCCTCCCCGCTCCCCTCTCCCCTCTCCCTCATGAACCCTTGATAATTTATAAATTATTATTTTGTCATATCTTACACTGTCTGACATCTCCCTTCACCCACTTTTCTGTTGTCTGTTCCCCAGGGAGGAGGTTATATGTAGATCCTTATAATCGGTGTGTCCCCCCCCACCCCCGGATCTCCACTCTCGGCACTGGTCCTGAAGGGGTCATTTGTCCTGGATTCCCTGTGTTTTCAGTTCCTGTCTGTACCAGTGCACATCTTCTGGTCTAGCCAGATTTGTAAGATAGTATTGAGATCATGATAGTGGGGGAGGAGGAAGCATTTAGGAACTAGAGGAAAGTTATGTTTATGCTTATGATTGATGTCCCCCACCAAGACATGTACATGAGATTTGCAGCTCTGAGTTCTGAGTGCTCGTGAGTGTGTATTCATATTCATGTGTGAAGGAGAATATCCAGCACTTGCTCATTCACAGGCGTCTCATTTCTGTGCTGACTTGGACTTTGGGTTTTTGTAGGTTGTGGAGTTGCTGGAGGTTCCCAATAAACCCACTCAGCTGGCATACAAATACTACTTCCTGTCTGTGAACAGTACAGACCGCGAGGACACCCCGGGCACTGCAGTCATGCTGCAGCAGTTCAAGGAAAGCATCCAGGACATGGTTGTGCATGTGAAAGCTGGGAAACAGCCTAGAACCGGTGCCAAGCGCAAGGTATGTGCACATAGGAGACGAACACGGGATTTTTATGTAGTAAATTAACTTTATCGTTGGCATCTTTTACCGTTTTTAATACCTGAAAAAATTAGACGTGCTTTATAAGAGACTGGGCAGCAGTAAGGCTTAAGAAACCATTTTCTGCATTTTTTTTCTTTTAAGTCATTTTATTCGGGGCTCTTAATAACTCCTATCACAATCCATCCATCCATCCATCCATCCATCCATCCATCCATCCATGGTGTCAAGCACTTTTGTACATTTGTTGCCATCATCAAAATATTTTCTTTCTACTTGAGCCCTTTTTTTTTTTTTAAACCATTTTATTAGGAATTAGCCCAGACTTCATACCATTCCATAGTTCATCTGCATTTTCTTGAAAGTGCTTCTCTCTTTGTTAATTTAAATTAGTCATGCACTATTTTCTAGAAGAGAATCTGTTTAAACACAGATAGTTACTACAGAATTACCAGCCTTGGGTTTAGCGTTTTCAGAATAGAACATCTTTTGGGTTTAGCTTTATGATGCACTGTTACAGTGGTTTAACTGCTTTAACTAATTGCATCACACAAGTTTTGTGTGTTTTTTTTTAACCCACGTTCTCTCCATACATTCTAGTTGTCTGGTGATCCGTGTCCAGTAGAACCCAAGAGAACCAAGCGATCAGGAGAAATGTGTGCCTTCAATAAAGTACTAGCTCACTTTGTCGCTATGTGTGATACAAACATGCCATTTGTAGGACTTCGGTTGGAGGTAATTTTTTTTTTTCATTTGGGGTGTACAGTACACGAGAGGAATTTTAGAATTGCAATGCTAAAGCAATAAGAATTCCATTGGGAGAACCAGAATTGCCATGCTGTTCATTTTGTGGGTGACTGTCCTGGTTGTATAGTGGGTTACACTTTAGACTTCTAACCACCGTTCAGCAGTTCAAACCCACCAGCCGTTCCTCGGGAGAAAGGTGAGGTTTTCTGCTCCTGTAAAGATTCATAGTCTCAGAAACCACAGAGGTAGCTAGCTCTTTGCCCTCCAGAGTCACTGTGTGTCAGAATCTACCCATTGGCAGTGAGCTTGGTTTTGGAGGTCAAACTCAAACGTACCCCACGGTATATGTACAAATTACCGTCACGACCTAAGAGTATTTTGTCTGTGTGACTTGCGATTCTGGGCCTTATTTCTTTACAGGAATGTAAATTAAATTGTAAGGGCCTTTCCCAGTTACATAACAAAAACCTTCTAAGAACGAACGTCTGATCTGTAAATGTTTTCATAGCATTAGTTAAGCAGATGATTAGTTGTGTTTCATTTCTACTTTATTGTGTTCCTTGCCTTTTGCATGTCATTTGGATGGTTATATCAGTGTTACTTGGTTACTAGTTTACTAGCTGTGCCGTGGGGAGGGAGGATACACAGGGTACCCTAGGGCAGTATAATGCACTCGTATTCTCCCCGCCACGCACACACACATAGGCTAGGATTCACAACAACCTGTAACTCTAGTGCCCATATAGACCAGCACCTGTAT